AGCCAAGCCCTTGGGGGCTGCATCTGCCTAAGGTGGGGGGGCGGGGAGCTCTTTGGAGTTGGCCCAGAAGAACGGTGCAGGCTCTCCAAGCCTTGGCAGTCTTGCCTGGACCTGCTTCAGGAGGCTCCAGATTGGTTTGCCCTGGGAGGCCCTGACCCAGGGGGTCCGGTCTTCTCCAGCATCCTTCAAGGCCACCCCCAAGCAGCCCTCCTAGGCTTGGGAATGCACTGAGTTTCAGGAGGGTGGCTGGGTCGAAGTTTTCTTCAACAGAATCCATTCTGTGTTCATTCAACAAATATCTGAGGCTCTCCCCTAAGCCAAGGCCTGTTCTAGCTCTGGAAATATGCAGAACAGGACGGACAAGGTCCCTGCCTTTGTGGAGCTGGCATTCTAGTGGGGGAAGCCAGATAAGGAACAAGTGAAAGAAGTAAACAAGACCATTTTTCTGAGAGTGCTAGGAGGAAAATAAAACACACAATGGCCTAAGGAGTGGTGGGGGAGGGACAGCTAGTGTGGAGCTTGCACCTGAGAGGAAACTTTCTGAGAAGGTGATACTCAAATGACAGGAAGGAAGGAGTTGTGCCAACCTGGGGAGAACATTCCAGGCGGCAAGAAGAGGAGAGGGCAGCACCCGAGGCTGGGAGACCTCTGCTTGGCAGAGCACAGTGCGGAGCCAGGGAGAGGAGGAGGGTGAGGCAAGGTAAGGGCTGATTTCTGCAGGGCCCATGACCAGGTGAGTCCACTGGGGTTTCTTCCACAGACACGGGGTGGTCAAGGAAGGATTGAAGTGGACAGTAGCAAGATCTGAGGGTGCTGTTTAGAGATAACTCAGGTTGCCCTACTGAGAGACTCACAGGACAAGGAGGCAGGAAGACCAGTCAGTCGGAGGCTGTGCAGGGTCCAGGGGAGGAGCACGGTGGCTCCAAGCTGAGTGCCGAAGGGGAGATGGAGAGGAGGGATGGATGGCCTGGGGATTCAGGTTTGGGGTTCTTGCTCACTGCCATGTCTGCCTGCAGAAGCAGGGACCAGCCAGGACACCTGTAATTCCAGGAAGAAAGCAAGTTCTAGCTCAGCCTAGGCAACTTAGTGAGACTCCGTCTCAAAATAAAAAATCAGTAAAAAGGGCTGGGGATGTAGCTCAGTACAAAAGCCCTGGATTCAATCCCCAGTACTGCAAAGAGAAGGAGGAGGGGAAGGAGCTCCAGACAAGGTGGGGACCCCGGAGGGCCACTGCTCCCCTACAGTCACTGTGTAAGGGCCGGACTCCAGAATGCTGGGACTCTCCCAGTGTATGCCCAGCCCACTGTCAGACCCAAGCACAAGGCCCACAGCAGAGTCCCACTCACACCTCCTCTGGAGCTCCTTCCCCTTAAACCAAGGAATTTCCTGCTCCAACAGCCCAAAGCTAGCTGCCTGGGCCTACAAGGGCCTCTTTAGCAGGTGGCAGCCTGTGTGCACCTCCCTAGATCCAAAAGGTGACAGGGGGAGGACATGGCAATTTTCAAGGGGCACGGGCAGCATTTGAGCCCACGTGCTGGGAATTTATACCTTCCTAAGAACCTAAGGGCCCTCCAAGAGGGTATGGGACAGGGAATGGGAGGAAGAGGGGGCTGACTGACTCTCTCAACATCAGCGTGTTCCAGTCAAATTCTAAATCTATATCTGGTCTTCTAGAACATTCTAAAGGTGATATTTGTGAAGACCGGAAGACAGAACATATTTTATCTAACAGTTTCTCAGTTTGGTAACTTTTAATATTCAAACAGATGGGATCAGGGCTGTACACAGTGTACCCACCCATGCCCACGGCTGCTCGGCAGCATTTCCTAAATGCTGGATGGGAAGTTCTAGGGCCCATCATCCACCCAAGGAGTTGTTCACAAAAGCAGAATAAGAGACTTTTCCTAGTTTGCTAAACAAAATTAACATAATAAATTTTTCTAAATTTTACATTTTGATTCAATATTTTTTCCAGAATCTTTGGTGCCTGCCATTCCTTATCAGCTGTCTGCTGCATGTAAACTAATAAGATTAACAATGAAAGAAGCCACACACATACTATGGTAGAAGGATATTCAGAGAAAGTTGGAAAGTGCTGATTCTTATGATTTGAACAGTGTGTTTTCTTATAGCCCTGAGAACTCATGGCTGTGATGTTGACGGTATCCGTGCTCTACAGTTATCTTTCCCAACAGCTAAATAACTTTAAGTTCACAGTGATGGAATTAATTATGCCTTAGAATGCTCTGCAGAAAGAATTACAATTTCTAGGTGTGTTGCTCTATCTAGACCACACTGAGAACCCTGGTTCTCATGTGCTGCTGGAAATTTGATAACTGTGTTGAAATAAGTTCTTTAATATTATATTAATATTATTTAGACTGAGCTGTAGTTTGGATCTGGAATGGTCCCCAGAGGTCCATGTGTAAAGACTGGTCCCCATCTTGGCATTTTTATATTAATATTAATATATTTAAGTTTCTGGAGGAAAGTACAACTTCAAAAGTGTGTTTCTAGAGAGGAAGAGGGTGTAAGGGAAAATCTAGTAGGCTCATATTTATCAAGCAAGCATCAACGGCATCTGAGGAAGACACTTTGGTACCTATATTCTCCCTAATTCTTCCCACAGCTCTACAGTGATTTATTGTCGGAGAAGTGCAGTAACGTATCCAAGGTCCCACAGCTAGTAAGCCAGGTGTTAGGTGTTTAAATGGAGCTGAGTCCCCCCCACCACTGGGTCTCCTGGGGACATAGGGTGTGTTAATGGGTTAGAAGGGCCTTCTAAGTGCTCTTTGTTGATAGGAAACACTTGACTTTTGGTTGATCGTCCATTGGGTTCTTATACTTCCCCTGTTGATACCTAAAACATAAAATGCATTTGTGTAAAACTCAATCGAGAATGCATTTGTAATTAAAAAAAAACTAATATTTTAATTTTTTTTGGTCTAAGTTTTAAAGTATTTTTGAGACTATGTTGTTGAGTCTGTGGAACAGTATATATATTTTTTTCACTACTGGGGATTGAACTCAGGGCTTTTGCACTGAACTACATCCTCAGCCTTTTTATATTTTTATTTTTTATTCTGAGACAGCATTTTCACTAAGTTGCCTAGGGTGGGCTTGAACTTGTGATGCTCCTGACTCAACCTCCCAGAGCAGGGATTATAAGCATACGCCACCATGCCTGGCTCATATTAGATATATCATATCAGATACTCCTCTAAGCAGAGCTCAGCTGGGCCTGGAAACTGTAGCTTGGTTTTTCTTTTTAAATCTTATTTGTCCTGCTTTGGAGCAACCAATCTTACCCCCACACTCTATTATTATCTTTTTTTTTTTTTTTTTTTGTACCGGGGATCGAACTTGGGACCTTGCGCTTGCGAGACAGGCGACAGAGCCACTGAGCTAAATTCCCGGCCCACCTCCACACTCTAGCTTTAGATTAAGTTACAAAATTACATTGGAAGGATTAGTTCCATTTTTACTATTCAGAATTTGATAGATTTTCAAATTTATGTACTAAGTCTCTTCCATGCATCATATTAGGAAGTTGAATCAAAATATAAGTTCCTAGGGCTGTTTGTCTTCTCAAAATGGTTAGCATTGAATCCCTCTAGAAACAAGCTTCATCTCACAGCCCTCAAAAATCAGGACCACCTGTAGGAGGACTCCCTCTCACTCAATGGGACGACAAGGCTCCCTGCTAAACACTGGAGGACATCAACCCATGAGATAAGGCTTTTTTCCTTCACCAGGAATGACCTTGGCCGTCAACCCAGCCCTGTCTGTGGATCAGCCTTATCTCAGCCCCTCCCCAGCTGGCCCCAAACTCCAGTCAGTCAAACATCTTGTCCTTTGTTACCAGAACACGCCAGGTACTTGTAGCCTCTCCACCTTTGCACCTGGTGTCCTTCCTCCTAGAAAGTCCTGCCTTCTGTATCCTTCTGGCAAATTCCGGCTCGCTCTTCAACGCGCAGCTCCAAGGTCTATTCCTGCATGAAGCCTTCTCTCACCCTTTCTCATACCGTCCACCGTGGGATGATGCAGACTGAGGGGTGTAACCCATAGACATTTGCTTTCCACAGCTTTGGAGGTTGGAAATCTGAGATCCAGGTTCCATTATGCAGTATGGTGGGGTTCTGATGAGGTCTCCCTTCCCGGCTGGGAGATGACCATATTCTCTCCCTATGCGCATATGGACGTGTATGTGTGTGGTAGGTGGGATTAAACCGAGGGGTTTCACATTGACCTACTAATTGCTAAATTGCCCAGGCTGGACTCAACCTTGCAACCCTATTTCAGCCTCCCAAAGTGCCAGGGCATTCCTTATAAGGTCACTGATTCTACCTGATTAGGACTGCACCCTCAGGACTTCACTTATCTTTACCTCCGAAAAGCTTTATCTCTAAATATTACCACATGGGGGGTTTTGAATCTTGGAGGGATAGGATTCAGTCTACAGCACCTCTCCAGACAGCATTAGTGGCTGCCTCCTCCAGAGCCCCATAGTCACCAGGGCAGGATGTCCCTTTGTCATAGTCATCCATCCTTTTATTTGTTTGCTTGTTTTTTGTTTGTTTGAGACAGTGTCTCCCTATGTAGTTTAGACTGGCCTTGAACTCACTATGTTGCTCAGGCTGGCCTCAAAATAGCAGCGATCCTCCTGCCTCATCCTCAGAAGTGCTGGGATTACAGGCATGCGCCACCATGCTCAAAAACACAACCGTCCTTAAACTCCATTCGTGTCTCTAACACGCTGGGTGAGTTAATGACAAAGCCCTATCCTCTGCTCTTCCCCATCCCCTCCTGCCAGCAGACTCGGTCTGACCTTCTGCCTCCTGCCATGTTCTGGGCCACCAGGGGCCAGGGGTCACTTCCCCATGGTCAGGCCTAGGTGAAGACTGTTTCTGCTATCCGAAGGCCTGCAGCCCTTGAGGTGGGGACCCACTCCCTGCCTCTCTCACCCCACACACTCCTCAGGCCCCCTTATCTGGGATTTCTTCCAGTCCTAAAACAAGTTCCTCTCCCTGCACAGGCAAGGGCAACTGTGGGTGAAACAGGTGTCACTTTCCTCCCTGCATCTCTGCTGCTAGGACAGGACATCAGCAGCATTCTTGGCACTACAAAAAGAGCTGAAAATCCCTCTTCGAGTTCTGATTTCCCTGCAGCTCTCTCTACAGGTGCATGGTGTGTTAACGGGCCCAGCATCTGGCACAGACGGCGATCCTCAGCTCCCATCAGGTTATTTAACGTATATGCTTTTTTCTTCCCTCTGCCCAAATGCATCAAGTTAAAAATATCTTGTTTATGAGCTCTGGACCCAAGATGAAGCAGTTGGGTCATTAATCATCGGGAATATGTTGAATAGGAACTTGATTAAAGCACAGGATGCGTTCCCCAGACAAAGTTGTTCTTTGCGGTCACCGCAGTGGAAGCTTGGGCCTCCCTGGCCGTGTTTTCAGCTGCGCCTCCTTTTGGGCCCCTGGGAGGGTCGTAGCGTCTCGCCAGACCTAAGAAAGCGCTTCGCGGGGTCTCCACCTGCGCGGCCGAGGATTCCCAGGCAGGCACACCTCCAGCCAGCACTAGGGGGTCAGAAGGTGAGGAGACAACGGGCCTCGGCTCAAGAAGCCCCAGGGGCTGAGCCAGGTGGAAGCTGGAGACTCAAGTGCTCCCGAGGCCCCACCTGCCCACCACCGAACCTCGCCCTGGGGCGGGCCGCCACGTGGCCGGGGAGACAGCGCCGCAACTCCTCCATGCGCAGCACTGAGCACGGGGACGGCGCGTGCCCTAAGAGACAGAGGATCCTGGGGACCCTGGGCCCCGAGAGCCAGGCGGCAGAGTCCTCCAAGTGGGTGCTCCGGCCCCTTGGCCCTGGCTCCCTGACACCCCAGCTCCGGCCGTGGGCGCGCCCCTGAATTGACAGTGAGGGACGAAAGCTGCGGCTTTGGGCCACGCGGATTATGGGATTCGCCACGGGATCCCGGTCCTGAAGTCAAGCTCGCCTCCCCTCTCCCCGTGCCTGCCTTCTCCCCGTGCGCTCGCACGGGTGTCCAGCTCGGTCCAGCTCGGCCCATCTCGGGCGACCACCTGCCCATCCGGAAAGAAAAAATTGGCCGAAAGCAGCACGGGCCTCCCGCGCCTTAACAACCCCCGCGCTCCGGCCTGGAGAAGTAATTTAAAAGAAAGTTTTCCAGGGCGGCTGGACCGGCTCGGTCCGCCAGGTTCCCGAGTCGCGGCCGCCTCAGTACCCCGCAGGGTCCTAGTGCCCTGCGCTGCCCGGCCCGTGGGACCTCGCAGTATGGTACTCAGAGGCAGGCGGGCGAGAGGGGCTTCTGAATGGCATCTGAGGGGTCGCTTGGAGATCAGAACTAGCAGTCGCCGAGTCTCCGCTCTCCGGGTCTCTCTCCTCGGCGGTGTGCGCCGGGTGGCGGGTCGGAAGCTGTCCCCGCCGCTCCGCGCTCTGGGACAGACACCGCGCTCTGGGACAGGCCTGGTTCTGAGGACCGAGACTCGTCCTCCACCGATCCCCGGCGCGCCCTCTGGGTGCTCCGGGCTCTCCGGCTGTTAGCTGGAAGTGAATGCTTTGCGGAGGCCGATGGGGTGGGCCGCCACGAGTGCGCGAGGGAACCGCTCGTCGGCGGTGCGGCGCAGCACGGCCTCCAAGCTTCGGCTCGCGCGCTGGAGGCAGTGGGCGTTGCGCCACCGCCTCTGCGCTCCCTCACCGCTCGCGGCCCTTCCGAGAGGCGGGCGCTAAGACCCGGCAGGCTCCGCTCTGCCCTCGCCCTTGGTCAGAGAGCGGCTTGGACACCAGGGGGCGACGGCTGACCCGGTATAAAAGCGGGGTTCGCGCGGGCCTGGCCATTCGCGACCCGGAGCTGCGCGGGCGCGAGCGAGGAAGGGCTCCGGGTGGGCGGTGGACGCGGCGGCGCCCCGCGCAGGCTGGAGGCCGCCGAGGCTCGCCATGCCGGGAGCACTCTAGCTGTCCCATGGAGTCGGCCGACTTCTACGAGGCGGAGCCGCGGCCCCCGATGAGCAGCCACCTCCAGAGCCCCCCGCACGCGCCCAGCAGCGCCGCCTTCGGCTTTTCCCGGGGCGCAGGCCCCGCGCACCCCCCTGCCCCACCTGCCGCCCCGGAGCCGCTGGGCGGCATCTGCGAACACGAGACGTCCATCGACATCAGCGCCTACATCGACCCGGCCGCCTTCAACGACGAGTTCCTGGCCGACCTGTTCCAGCACAGCCGGCAGCAGGAGAAGGCCAAGGCGGCCGCGGGCCCCGCAGGAGCAGGCGGTGACTTTGACTATCCGGGCGCCCCGGCGGGCCCGGGCGGCGCCGTCATGTCCGGGGGGGCGCACGGGCCCCAGCCCGGCTACGGCTGCGCGACGGGCGGCTACCTGGACGGCAGGCTGGAGCCCCTGTACGAGCGCGTCGCGGCGCCCGCGCTGCGGCCGCTGGTGATCAAGCAGGAGCCCCGCGAAGAGGACGAGGCGAAGCAGCTGGCGCTGGCCGGCCTCTTCCCTTACCAGGCGCCGCCGCCGCCGCCGCCGCCTCACGCGCACCCGCCGCCCGCTCACCTGGCCGCGCCGCACCTGCAGTTCCAGATCGCGCACTGCGGGCAGACCACCATGCACCTGCAGCCCGGCCACCCCACGCCGCCGCCCACGCCCGTGCCCAGCCCGCACTCGGCGCCCGCGCTCGGCGCCGCCGGCCTGCCAGGCCCGGGCGTCGCGCTCAAGGGGCTGGCGTCCGCGCACCCTGACCTCCGCACAGGCGCGGGGAAGGGCAAGAAGTCGGTGGACAAGAACAGCAACGAGTACCGGGTGAGGCGCGAGCGCAACAACATCGCGGTGCGAAAGAGCCGTGACAAGGCGAAGCAGCGCAACGTGGAGACGCAGCAGAAGGTGCTGGAGCTGACCAGTGACAATGACCGCCTGCGCAAGCGGGTGGAACAGCTGAGCCGCGAACTGGACACCCTGCGGGACATCTTCCGCCAATTGCCGGAGAGCTCCTTGGTCAAGGCCATGAGCAACTGCGCGTGAAGCGCGCGGCAGCAGATCGCCCTGGGCCGGCCCTTGCCGGGACCCGGGGAGTGGTTTCGGGTCGCCGGATCTCAAGGCCTCCCGGGCCCTGCGAGCCACGACTAAGACATTCCGGTGCCTCCTGAAAGCCTGGCCTGCTCCGAGTGTCCCTTCCCTTTCTCTGGCCGGACTTGGTGCGTTTAAAATGAGGGAATGAGATGGTGGTTTCTCCCTGGGACAGGGGAGAATTCTTGGGGCCGAGCTGGGAGCCCAGCGACTCTAGTATTAAGGAATAACCTTGTGCCTTGGAAATGCAAACTCGCTCTGATTCCTACCAAGTAGGGGGAGCAAACACGTGCCTTGATATTTTATTTGGAGGGTTCCTGCCTCCTCTGAGGCTGCAGGAAGTCCCCAGGAGAGAAGGCAGGGTGCAGGCCCATCAGGAAGCTGAGATCCTAACCATCTAGCCTTACCGCTCCTCCGTGCTGTGCTGTCCATAGAGGGGAGGAGGCTTCGAACATAAGGTTTTATCCTAGTTCTAAGCCGGAGGTGGCGGGCCGAGATTCCTTGCCTCTCTCACCTCCACCTACCCCATGTCAGGCTACAACTTGTGGGGCTGCTTGGGTTAGCACTCACCAGGGGGCTAGCAGGAGACCCCCAACCCCAGTCCCACTAGAAAGCTAGGTCCTGAGTTGGCCCTAAGGACTGGTGTTCTAGGGGGGTGGTGACCTGGTGGAGAAGAGATGTGGTCTTGGGGTGGGAGGGTAGAGGGATACTGGGACTGTCGGCCTTGTCTGTACTGTATGTCACCAGCATTGCCGAACGAACATGAAGCACAATCAGTCCATCCCAGAGGGACCGGAGTTATGACAAGCTTTCCAAATATTTTGCTTTATCAGCCGATATCAACACTTGTATCTGGCCTCTGTGTCCCAGCAGTGCCTTGTGCAATGTGAATGTGCACGTCTATGCTAAACCACCATTTTATTTGGTTTTTGTTTTGGTTTGGTTTTGCTCAGATACTTGCCAAAATGAGACTCTCCATCAGCGGCTCGGGGGAGAGACTGAGCCTCTCTTTCCTTTTGGTTTTGGGGTTGCTTTTGCCCCCCCGGGGAACCAATGAGGTCAGAAGGGCTTCCCCTTCCCCCTAGGCTTTCCCTGTCCTGGGTTGTGGGCCTCCTGGGCCTCCACTACCTCTGGCTGGGGCTGCCCGCAGGCTTGTCCCCCAAGAGGCCCTGGCTCCGGGTCTGGAAGGAAGTGCCCTCTGGCCAGTGTGTACACATCGCCGAGGCTAGGAGCAGGGAAGGACCACTTGGCCTCTTTGGGGGAAAGCATAGAGTTTCGTGTTAAATGTTTTATGTATTATATCTATAATATAAACATATCAAAGTGAATTTTGGTGTCTTTTTAAAACTAGAACAAAGCTACTTCCAAGGTTTTCTATGGGCCAGGTCACATTTGTAAATAATCACAGCATTTTATCTGGCTGAGATCTTGATGAATTAGCATCTCTTGAGCCCCTCTTTACCTTGAGGGGGTGACTTCCCCCAACCAAGACAAATAACGGATGGAGAACAAGGCTCCAGGCTGAGACTCTGTAGAGCCCAAAGGAAGAGTCCTGTGAAGGAAAGGGGTGTGGGGGGGGTGTCCCAGAGAGGTGCGTGGGGCTGAGGCCGTGGTGTGGCCTGGGAGAAGAGGGGCCCAGAGAAGGCAGGCCCACACAGCACCTCCAGGCTCACACCTTTGGTCACACCTCCAAATCACTGGGCTCCAGCTTCAGAGCAGCCTGGCTCACGCCTGCCTTAGCTCCAGCCCTCTGTTAGGACCCTGGGCCGGCAGGAAGAGGCCTGGAGTGGCCAGACCCTCCACCCCTCCCACTTGCCCTCACTGTCCCTGAGCCATAGGACTTCCTCCTACTCCAGTGATGCCCAGAAGGGCAGCGTGCAGGCTGAGCCCCCCTCTGTCTCATCCTCCACATCGGTCCTGCCCAGCCAGCCAGGGCCTGACCCCTCCCTGCACACTTCTCGCACAGCAGGCAGCCCCAGCATCCACCTGCAGATCCTGTACCAAGCAGGAGGCTGAGACCTGATGATCGTCCCATTAGGACAGGCACCCCAGCATCCCCCTGCAGCAGGGACAGCCAACCTAGGGAAGGTGGATTTCACCCCTGCCTTAGTCCAGGAGGCCTAGAAAGCATCAGCTCAGGAGGCTGCTGTTGCTTTCAGTATCTTCCCCCTCTCCAAGGGTAAAAGGTGAAACATGTTTTATCCCTTTTCACAAGAGGGCATACCAATGTGGGCCAGGGCATTTTTGAGAAATTACACATTCTTTTAAATTCTGAAAACTTTAGCTTTATTTGCCTGCATAGATAATTCCCTTCCGCCCCCTCACCTCTGTCCTGTGCTTTGCTGCCACCTCACCCATGACTGCCCTTGGCAGAGAGACCACGAGCCCAGTGAGGAGGCGGTGGCCTGCCCCACCACCCTGGGAACCGAGGAGGCCCAGCCCTATCACCTGCCTAGAGGCTGGGGCAGGCCCCGGCTTGCTAGGCCCCAGCAAACCCTCTCTGAGTTCAGTGCTAATTCCAGTTTTTCTTGTTTGGAGGGGCTGATCCTTGGCTTCCCCCTTTGCCCCCAGATCAGGTCCCAGGATGTACAGGGGAGGGGCGACCCTCTTGCCCTCCCTTCTTCCTCTCCCTCCTCCTGGGCCTTCCCTGCAGGGGCTTCCTCTTTCAAAGCTGGCAGCTTCCCAAAGGGTGGCCCTTCTGCTTTGCACCATGAGATCCAGGATGGGCTGTGTTGGGGACAAGATGGAACCAATCACATCAGCGTCAGGAAAGAGATGAGGAGAATAAGGCCTCTAAGAGGGGCTAAAAGAAGACAGTGCGTACTGTTTAGGAACAGTGCAAAGCCGTCCCAAAAGCAAGGTGAACACAGGATGAACATGTCCAGTGCGTGTTCTGAGCCCTGCCAGAGGTGTCCCCCCAGGGACAATCACTGGTGGACGGACACCCACTGCTTCCTGCAGGGCTCTCCTCAGTTCCTCTCCTGACTTCAGCCTTCATGAAGACCCACTCCAATAAGCCTGGCACTGAACCACCCCAAGTATTTATCAGATGCCTACTGTATGGTAGGGTCCACGCCAAGGATCGAGGCATTGCTGGGAACAAGCAGACTGTGTTCCTGCTCTTGAGGAGCTCACAGCCCCAAGCTGTGGTGTCAAGGTGACAAGTGCAGTGGGGGAAGGGGTATCAGGTATCCCAGAGGCAATGGCTTTGACGTAGCACCTAGTAAGGGCAGTGCCACCCACAGTCCCAAGATGCCTAGATGCTTCTGCCTTGCATGGCTGTCCCCACAACGGGCAGAGCCTGACTGCCTCCTTCTCTGGGCCACCCTCGAGCCCTGTGTCCTGACAGTACTGTTCAGGGGAGCCGGCCTTCAACAGGAACAAGCGTAGAAGGGAGGAGGAGGCAGTTCCTCTGCCACCAGCTGCCTCCTGATGGTTTAGTGCTGTCACGGATGTCACCCTTATCTCTTGGATCTCCTGGGAATTTTCAAATATGGGGTTTGGCCCTAACAACTGTGAGAGCCTCTGGGACTGCCAGAAGTGTCTGCCCCTCCCAGGTCTCCCGCCCCCTCCTTCCCAGGCAGGAACCTGCCAGGCCTCCTCCAGGACCTGCTGATTTCACAAGAGGGGAGGGGGCCCCTCACTGTAAAGGTCAAGGGGGAGCAGAAACCCTGACTTTGCTTAGCTCAGAGGCCTCTCCTTGCAGGGCACCCAGAGGCCTTTTGCAGATACTGGGTAGAGTCCTTGACTGGATAATGTTGTTATCTCAGCTGTTTCTTTCCCATGCTGGTGGGCAGAGGACACCTTTGCTCTTCTCTTCTCTTTAGATAAATCATCCATGTGTGGTGGCAGACACCTGTGATCCCAGCACTCTGGGAGGACGAGGCAGGAGGGTCTCAAGTTCAAGCTCAGCCTGGGCAACTTGGTGACTAGAGTGACCCTGTCTCAAAATAAAAAATGGAAAAGAGCTTAGGATGTAGCTCAGTGCAGAGGCCCTCGGTTCAATCTCAGTGCGGGGGGCGGGGGGACTAAACCCTAAATCACCTTCAAAAGAACTTTCTTGATTCTATAAAAGAGTCCTGCTTTCTCTTCTTTCTCATTATCCCTACCTCTCCCCCTCCCCCATACCCTTCTCTGTGGATGGAGCATTTGACGTAAGCGGAGACATAGGAAAGATACCAATTCACTATCAAAGCATCCTAGCCCCATCCCAGAGCAATTAAAAAGCCAGATGGACTCTCTGGGAAAACGGCATTAATAACACGAACAATCTGTGCAGGCCGGCAAGAGCCCAGGAGCCTCAAGAAGGGGTGGGGATTGGGGAGAGGAGGAAGGCTGGGGTGCTGAAGTATGAGCTCGGAGCAACATCTCAGCCATGTGGTGGCCAGCCAGCGAGGAGGCCATTGCAAGGGTATGCTAGGTCTGGCCACAGCTGAGCTGTCCCCTCCGGCCCTTGCAAGGCCCTCTGTGCACCCTGGATCCTGGTGGCTGCAAACAGAGCCAGACAAATGTGGAACCCATTACTCAGACAGCCGCAGCCTCAGCCAGCCCCATTCTGGCACCCGAGAGCTTTGCTTCTCTTCACTTTTGTTTTTATTTATTATTTTTCTAGCTTTCTGGCCCCACCCACTAGAAACAGGCCTCCCTGGGCATATGGCTTCCAAAGACGTCTTTTCTCTTCATTTGCTGTGCCCACATCGATTGCCAGTGCCTGACAACAGAAGATGGTGTTGGGGACCCTCCCGGGGCCTGAGTCAAAGGAGCACTCCTTAGAACGCAAAGTGGAAGGCACTATGGGCAAAACCAGCTGAGCTCTTGAGGGAGCCGGGCACAGGGGCCCACATTACTCCGGCTATCTCACAGACCATTGCACACTTGTGTTGTTCTGAAGCCTGGTCTGGGCAGAGCCCAGAAGTTGGACTCTTCTACAGTAGCCCCATGGTTCAGACCCTGTTCTGGAGACCCAACCAAGGTGAGTTTAAAGAAAGTAGACCACAAGTTCAAGCCCAGCTGGGGCAATCTAGCAAGACCCTATCTCAAAATAAAGATTTTTTTAAAAAGGGTTAGGGATGAGCTTAATGTGAAGGTCCTGGGTTCAATACCCAGTGTTGTAAAAGAGAAAGAAAGAAAGTTAGTTTTCTTATAGCCATCAAGTTGGGATGGGAATTCACTCATTTAAGAAGTATCATTTGTAATTCTCATATGCCCAGAGATCTTTCATCTTCACTGTCTCCCAGAAATCGTTCTTCACACCTATCCTCCCTGGAAATTGTTCTCTCCAAAGTCACCACAAGCTCCTAGAACTCCTCTGAGGTCCTTCCTGCCTTGCTTGGCCTCCTGCTGAACTTGGCTGCAACAGATGTCCTGTGCCTGGCCCAGGGCAGGTCTTTGACATAGGTTTTTGAATGCAAGAGCTTCACTCCAACTCATCTTTCCTTTACAAAACATCCTAGTCCTCTCCTTTCCATTCAGAGGTCCACTGGGTTGCCCCAAGGTCTACCAGGCAGAACCTTGAAGGACCATGGCCCAGTGTTGTTGAAAGTAACATAAGACACCAGAAAGAAGCTCCCTTAGATGAGTCATTGATTCTACAAAGTTCCTATTAATGAGCAAGAATCCTAAGCAAGGTGGCCTCTCCAATCTTAAGTAGCCATGCCATGCCTACCAGGCCTTAGTAGAACCACAGTCAACCCAGCCTCAACGGGATGATCAGGCTCTGCAGAGACATGGGACAGGGAGGAAGTGGAATTTCCAGTAGAGGGCACAGGGGGGCGGGGGGGGGGGCTCCCAGCGTTGCAGAAAGGTCAGAGGGCAGCCAGTACCATGGCATTTCTATTTTAAAAGGTATTTCAGGTCTTCGTGTCTCCTTATCCCCACTCTAGGATGACTAGCAAGGTCTTCATGGAGGGATAATGGCCTGAGTGTGGGGACTCTAGTGGACAAATGTGGTAGCCTAGAGCCAGGGCACATCACTCAGTGACCCAGAGAGGGCCTGAGGGGAACCGTCACAGCCTGTCCCGAGCCCTCTTGGATTTGAAGATACTTCTGCTCCTTGGCAAGTGACAGCATAACCTTTCACTGGAAATGAAGCCTCTTCTCCCTAAGCAAACACTGTCCCTCCTCTATCCCAGCCACAGAGGCCTCAGAGAGCCCCACCCCACCCCCTGCCTCCCCTGAAGCCAACCAGAACCCTGTCTGGGAGCCCCCCAGGAACACTGTGCCCTCTTGCTGATCAGGAAATGCAGCTGATTTATGGCGGCTTTTCCCCTGTGCACATGTTGGGCAATGGTCTCAGCTGGAAGTGGCAGCTCAGATCTTGGTCCAAAGA